TGGGCTGCCATTTCCTTCTCCAGGGGAGCTTCCCGATACAGGGATCGAACCCAGGTCTCCCTCATTGGGGGTAAAGGCTTTACCGTCTGAGCCACAAGGGAATCAGAGTTTGCAAACCTCTCATGAAACCTCTCCCTTGACCACAGTTTAGATCAGAAATGAATTCTCCTGGAAACTGGCGGGCGGGATGCTCTCCAGGGTCATAAAAAGTTACAACCGATTGGTGGGTGAACAGGGGGCTGGACAAGACTAGAGGGAGAGCACAGACCAGTCTCTGATACAAAGCTTCTCTCAGTCCATTTTCTGGACCATCTTCCATCCTCAATTCCCTCCCCATTTTCACTAATACACTAATACGACGAGGTAATATCAATACATGAACATGGTTTAAGGGGAGGAAGGTGCAGAAGAATACATCATGGAAATGAAGTCTCACTCTCACTGTTTTTTGTTTTTGGGGGGCGGTTTTTTGGCCATGCCATGCAGCATACAGGATCTTAATTCCCTGACCAGGGATCGAACCCATGCCCCCTGCATTGGGAGCTCAGAGTCCTAACCACTGGACCACCAGGGAAGTTCCTCCCTTTCACTGTTGTCTCAAAGACCCAGACTCTCCCCAGGACATCACTGTCACTAGGCCTCATGTGCCAACCATCCTAGGAAGAACCAGCATCCCTATGTGTGTGCTTATGTTGGCATCATATTTTAAAATCACACAAACAGGAGCGAACGACCCACACTGTTTGAATCTTGCTTCTTCACTGAACAGTATGCCTTAGGGGCCATCTCAAAGCAGTGCACAGAGGGGTTCTGGTTTTTTTATGACTGAGAGCGTTCTCTGTGTGGCTGTCCCATCCCTGAGCTCAGCACCGCCCGTCTGATAGACCCTGAGGTTGTTTTCAGTCTCTCACTGTTATAAATGATACCGCAGTGCGTGCGTGACTTTTAGACACAAGTGGGAATGAGCCTATAAGATAAATTCCTAGAAGTGGAAATGCTCATCAAAACTGTAGTTATTATTTTATTCTGATAAATGCTGTAAATCTTCTCTTGAGAAGTTATAACAATACACACACCAACACTTCCAATGGGAACTCCTAGTCCCCACGCGCTCACCAATGAAAGTCTCTGATCCAACACAGTTCTGTGTGCAACCCGACAATTAAAAACGTGATCACACACTTGCGGTTTCTGTTTCCTTTGGGGCTTCCCTGGTGGCTCAGATGGTAAAGAATCTGCCTGCAATGCGGGAGACCCAGGTTCCCAGGCTGGGAAGATCCCCTGGAGAAGGGAATGGCTACCCACTCCAGTATTCTGGCCTGGAGATTTCCATGGACAGAGGAGCCTGGCGGATTACAGTCCACAGGGTCACAAAGAGTCGGACAAGACTGAGCCACTAACACTTTCACTTTTTTTCTGTTAGGCATATTTTCTTATGTTTAAATGCCACTTGTATTTCCTTTTCTGTGAACTGTCGTCTATAAATATTCATTTTTCAGTCTGTTCATGGTTCTGAATATAGTAACAAAATTCAATCTATTGCAAACTATATTATAAAGTATAATGCATTGTAAATATTTTTTGTTCAGTTTGCTATTTACATTCTTATTTTCTTTAAGGTGATTTTTTTTTCCAGGCAGAAGTCTAATTTATTCCTCTTGGGTTTTATAATGGCCTCTAGTTTTTTGTGTCCTGCTTAGAAAAAGCTTTCTGACTTTTTTTTTTTTTTAAGATTCTCTTCTCTCTTTTTTTCTTTTGTTTTTGGTCCTGCCTGCATGGCTTATGGTACCTCAGTTTCCAGACTGGGGATTGAACCTGGGCCTTGGCAGTGAAAGCACCACTAGGCCACCAGGGAACTCTCCTTAAATTTCTCTTTTTAGCATTTAAATATTTGTTCCTTTGGAATTTATTTTAGAGTTAGGAATAAAATCATACATCAACTTTTATTATTATTCCATTATTACTATTATATTAGTATCCAGTTCTTCCAACACCATGTTTTCTCCAGTGATTGGAATTGCCACTTTTATTTTATATTTGTTTTATGTTCGTGTTTGGATTTACTTCTGGATCATATTCTGTTTGTTGAGCTGCACCAGTCTGTTAATTCATGCAGCATTATTTCTGCTTAACTTTGACCATTGATCCCAAATTCACTTTTCCCTGGAGCTTTGCCCATGGACACCTTAGGTGCTGTGGTTACCCCGAACCCCCATGTCCCGAAAGGCCCCAGGAGTGCAGGGCCAGAGCCGGGTCAGCTCTGTGCCCGCCTCCCCCAGGCTCACCCTCTACCACCACTCAGGCAGTAAATGCAGGGCTTAGAAGCTAAGCTGTCCTACAACCCACCGCAACTTTTTTAACCTTTATTTTTGGGCGCTCTGGGTCTTGGTTGCTGCAGGGACATGTCTCTAGATGTGGAGAGCGGGGTCTGCTCTTCGTTGTGGTTCTAGGGCTTCTCATTGCAGGGGCTTCTCTTGTTTGGGAGCACGGGCTCTAGGGTGCGCAGGCTTCGGTTGCTGCCACTCCCAGACTCTAGAACACAGGCTTATAGTTGTGGCGCCCAGGTTCAGTTGCTCCAAGGTACATGGAATCTCTCCAGACCAGGGATGTCTGGAAAACCTATGTCCCTTACATTAGCAGGTAGATTCTTAGCCACTAGACCACCAGAGAAGCCCCCACAGCAAGTTTTATGGGAATGATGATCCCAGGTAAGACAAAGCTTTTAGTGCTTTTACTTTCAACTAATCTATGAATCAGAGGAGAATCATTGTGGCAATACCAATTATTTTTTACTCTGCTGTGTGCCAAGTATTATACCAAGGTCTCTCCATGCATTATTTCAGTGAATGCTCCCTCCAATTCTATGACACAGTTATCCTCACAGCTCCCATTTTACAGATGAGGAAGCTGTGATTTAGGAGGTGAACTAATTGCCAAGTTCACATAGGTAAATAAGAGGTGAATCATCATATACGCTTCGCCTACTTTGATTAGCTTCTTTTTCCTACTTTGGGACATTCCTTTCTTCATTCTGTAAATATTTTTGCGTACCCATAGCAAGAAAGATAAAAACTTGTGAAAAACAGAACTCCCTGGTGCGATATTCAGAAGCCAGTTGACATGGCTGGTGCAGACTTGCGGGTCATCGCGAGGAAATGAATATCACGGGAAGGTGCCTTGTCAACAGTAACCTAGGGGTGTGAGAGGGAAAGAGGGGAGGCCTTCATTCAGTGAGGGGGTGGCAAGGGGATGGGTGTGTGGTACCCAGTGTATTACCTAGATGATGCCCATTGTCCCTCACTGGCTCTCGTTGCCTCCAAGAGCCATCCCTTTGTGGGCATCCGTGAGCCCCTCTTAGAGCATCATTCATCCAGTGTCACCTGCTCAAAAGGACACAGTCCTTGTCTCAGGGACCTGGGAGTCCCCTGGGATGGTGCATTGTTTTCAGTGCTCTCAAACTGGTCCACTTGGAGCCCCGAGGAGCCAGCTCATCACCCTTCTTCATCAGAGAAAGAGGCTCTCGTTCACCCCATGCCGGCAGGGTGAGGCCAGGCGCTCGTAGTACGATTCCTCTTGAGAAGGTCAGACGACACCCCTGGCACAGCCGCTCAGCCATTGAGTGGGTTTTTTATAGCCGATGGCCTCAGTCGGCAGGAAGGAGTCAGGTATTATGCTCAGCTCTACCTCTGTTTCATTCTGCATTTCTCTAAAGACCAGATCCCAGGCTTTCTGGCCCCTCAAGGGAGTGACCTCCACCCGAAGCCCAGAAATCTCCCCAGCTGGGGGCAGTGACATGGGTGGCTCTGAATGGAGGGCCGTCTCTTCTAGGAATAAAGGAGGACTTGGGTGATTTATTGGGGCTGAACTTGTCGACGTGTGGCAGGAAGCCTGGCCCTCAGTTTCTGAACAGGTGGTCCTCACACGACTCGCTCCAGAGGGGGCCTTTCATCACCAGCCCCAGACTCCATGGCACCACAGGTCACAGAGGGAACCAGGTTCTGTTCCCCATAAAGTCTCTGCTCATCACCATCTCATTCCTGCCTTTCTCTGGAGAACAGTGGATTCCGAGGGGGCACCAGGGCTTCCCAGGTGACTCAGTGGCAAAGAACCCACCTGCCAATGCGGGAGACATAATAAGACACAGGTTCAATCCCCGGGCCAGGAAGATCCCCTGGAGGAGGAAACGGAAACCCACTCCTGTGTTCTTGCCTGCAGAACCCCATGGACAGAGGAACCTGGTGGGCTACAGTCCATGGGTTCGCCGAGTCGGACATGACTGAACACATACACATAGGTGACACCAGGCACCTCTGGGCTCAAAATCAAAGCCAAGAATGGGCCTTTTAAGGGGCAGCACACTCGGGCCTTAACCTGGGAAAGATGGGATGAGGGATCCAACTGGAGAGAGAATTACTATAATAACCAGACACAGGTGTGCTGGGAAGGCCTTAGAAAGTCGACCGTCTCAACCTCCGCTCACCTGCCCCTCCTCATGGTCACCCAGCACGTGGCGTGCAGAGAAGGGAGACAGGTCTGGAGGGGAGACGGCTGCCCCAAGGTCACAGAAGTGAAGCCACTGATCAAACCCCAGTTCTCAGTCCTGCTCCACTAGGTCCTCTCCCAGGGAACTCGAGAAGACAGCTTCTTCTCTGTCTGTGCTTCTCTTCTCTGTGCTGTCTCTGAACGTAATAAATTATCATCCAGGCGTTTAACAGACTTAAGTGCCCACGACTGGCAGTCCGGAGCACCCTTGCTCTCCACGTGACACAGGCTGTCCACCCACATCCCTGGGCCTGAGTTTTCTCATCATGAAGTGGGGGAAGGTGAAGAGGGGCCCACGAGAGCTCCGAAGGCCCCCCTGTTTTCAGCTTCCAGGCTTCTGCTCACCCAGGATGGCTCAGAGCTCCCAGCGGTCATCCGATTCGGGGAGGCGAGGGGCCCAATGTCTGCTGGGCTTCATTCATCACTGATGCTCTGCCGTTTGTCTGTTTTCTCCACAGCCCAGCTTCCAAGAAGAGTGTAAGTTCAGAGAGACCCTCCTGCCCAACAACTACAACGCCTACGAGTCGGACCTGTACCGAGGCGCCTACATCGCACTGAGCAAATACGGACGGGTGAAGCGGGGCAGCAAGGTGTCCCCCACCATGACTGTCACGCACTTCCTCCCTAGGATATGAGGACCCTGGAGGAAGGCTCACAGGTGGAAAGCAATGTCTTTTCTGTTGGAATTTTGCACAAGTGGACAGTGCCCCCTCCCCCTATGTCTCCTGAGTCGAGCTCCTTCTCTGCTTGGGAGAGGGGGAGATCTGAGCTGGTACCCAGAGCCACCGGACCCCATGGCATGTGACCCACCCGAGGGAGGGGTTGCAGACGGGCTCCTAGAATGGCAATGGATCGATCCCACGCTCTGACCTCGACTGAGGAGAGAAAGTCCAGAGACACTCATGGAAGAGGACCCTGGGCGCTGGAAAAGGAGGGGAGGAAGTGTGTGTACTGATGTATGTCCAGACATCTCAGTCTGTACGTACAGACATCTCAGTCTATATCATCAGAGCCGATGCTGGGCATCTCTGAACAGGCTTTTTCCTCCAGGCATCACTGGAATCTGCCTGCAAGAATGTCACCTGTCAGCCCAGCAGGATCAATGCGTGCTCCCGTTCTGCCTCTTTCCAATCACCTTCCCTCTCAGAGGCTGCTGACCGTGTGGGTTGCCCCGGGGCGGGGGCAGGGGCAGGGAGCAGCTGTCCTCTAAAGTGCAGAGAGGCAGGGTGACAGGGCGTGAGATTTAGCTGCAGACTAGAAAGAGTGAGCGAGCACTCGAGGCATCCCGGGTGTGAGGGCTCTGGGAACCCTGGGACACATTGTCAATGAAGCTGGGGGAGACAATGTCCCCTTTTCTTTGGAGGAGAGGGTCGGAGCAGCGTGTGAGGCAACTGGGAGAAAACTGGCTAGAAGCAGCAGAATGGACGGGGCGTCCTAGAGAGAGCCTTTCTGCCCAGAGGACTCAAGTGCTGCGCGCGGCTCCAAGAACAAGCTGGGGCCAGGCTGCCTGCCCGTAACTTTTCCTCACATTGAACCGGGTCTTATTTTAACCTCAGATGACAAGGATCCTAATAATGGCAACCTCTTTGGCGAGCATCTAGGGGTACAAAATAGGTCACGAAGGAAGTAGAGAGGTTTCGGACTTCAGATGCTAATTCCTCTCCAATAACATCCAGGAAACTCACCCAAGTTCTCATCTGACACTCTCACTTCCTTCTCGGCTGGCCTCCCCCGCACACACACTGGTGCCTGGATGCAGCAGAATTGGGCACCGTGACGTCCAGAGTTTGCCCCCCTGACCCCCTATAGTAGGAGGAGAGTGATAATTCGGGGAAATGGAGCAGCCCAAGCTGAAGCGGCTCCTTGCTGCCACAATGCCTTCTTGCCTCCCGGCCTTTGAGAGTATTTAAAGCAGAGGTGCCCCAAGCAACTATAAATGTTGTCTGCCTGGAGCCTTCGGATGCCTGAGCCGTTGGGACGTTCCTAAATCTGAAACCAGAGAGACCCGTGTCGGAGCGCACATATTTTCGGTGGACGTGGACAGGCGGGTTACAAAATGAGCTGACACCCTCTGGGACGCTCAGAGGCCCCGGCCAGCAAGACCAGTCCTTTCTCTGCTGCAAATATCCTCGCCTTTGACACAGCTCTCTATTTGCAGATGCATCCAGCTATAGATAGAGCCAGGATGAGCTGAAGGCAGGGGCTCGCAATCCAAGGGAGAGACACCCTGCTGGTCACCTCCTCTGCCCGGCACATATCAGGGCAGACAGGTGCTGGAGGAGGGACAAGAGGCTGCACCAAAGTGGGCGAAGATGCAACAGACAGTGAGATTCAAGTGGGCGAAGATGCAACAGACAGCTCAGGATGAGAGAGGGTGCAGCCAAGTCTTGAGTGGAACCTGGATGGAGCTGGGGTCTTGGTCAAGCAGAAAGGGAAAACATCGGTCCATCTTGACTGTTTGGAATATTTCAAGTGTAGGTCTGCTTGGAGGCAGGGGACAAAACAGATTGTTCTTCAGGAGGTCTTGTCCTGAGCAACTGGTCTGTTTAACAGGGTACGTCGAAAACCAATGCACTCAGAACCTGAACTGTGGGTCAGCTCCCAATAGGATGCAGTGGGCGTGTAGGGGTCTGGGTGGGGATGGATGGACCGTGATCTGGAGAGGAGAAGGAAGTCACTGGTCTCAAAATATTGGTTCCCTTCTCCCCCAGGTGCTGAGCTCTCTTGGCAGGAGAAGGCTCTTCTAAGGAGAGTCATGAGGCCTCAGATGGTTAGATCTTTCCGGCAGCCCCCTAGAGGCTTATAAAAGTGCCCAAATCCTGACCAGGAGTTTCCCCAAATGTCCACTCCGATCTCTGATGCTGGGAGGGAGGATGAGAAGCTCTGAAATGCCCGGGACCGGGCAGGCTTGATGCCCGTTGCTCCAGCGTAACACATTTTCTGACATCCCTATGGGCAGCTGGGCATCTGTTCTCACTGGTACTGGGGCCCAAGGTGTACTAGTGTTTCAGTGCTTTGAAGATCACTGCTGATGTACGGCTGAATCACTGACTCTTCAACATCTTTCCCATCCAGAGGAATTCTCCTAGGGCTTTCCCTCTGACCTGTGAGCAACTGAGGCTTAGGGAAAAGTCAAACCCCATCCTCAGACATGGGATCGGGGCGGGAACAGAGTGAGGTCTGCACAGATGTGCCGAGTTCTCTCCTTGCTCATCCCCAACTGAGGCCCGTGCTCAGCTGTCAGCCCCATTGGATCCAAAAGTCTGCAAGGAGGTGGCAGAAGCAGGGGAACAGAGGTGAGCCCCACCTTCCCGCCAGGCATGCACTAAGAATGTCCTGGGTCCTCCCTCCCCCAGATCCTGAGCTGTGACCCCAGTTCATGCAGTTTTTGTAGCTAAATGGTCTCTGTTCCATCCCAAAACATCTCCAGGAGCTCCAGACAAAGGCGGGGCTCCAGGAGCCCAGAGACTGCCTTATTACCCCTTCAAGAACAAATGATGCAGATGAGAGCAGCAAGGTGCACCCCCTGAAGGTGGCTTCTCAGCTGGGATGACTGAGCTCAGGACAAAGAAGGGGGTCCAGGCCCGTGAAGAATCTACCCTCTCCTCGGGCAGCCATGGGTAGACCGCAGAGGGAACCAGAAAACGCCCTGCTTGTTACTGTAGGTCACTCCCAGGCTCCTGACCCCTCCCTCCCCACTTCCCAATGGAAAAGCAGCAACTTTGGGATGGACCCTCCATCATTGTTCTCCTCTATACCCTCCCCTCCGCCCCCACGTTCCACCATGCCTCCAATGCACACCCCAGGCCCCTGGCCAGGGCTGTTCTGGGGCTTAAGAAAGAGGGGAGGTTCTCCTGTCCTCTGCTTTCGGTGACAAACTTCTCTCCTTCAGACACATCGCTTTCTCCCCAGGCTCGGACTTCTCTCCCAGGTCCATCCTATCCGGAAGCAGGTGCGACGCTCTGGCCCAGGCTGGCTCCGCCCCTCTCTCATCCTGGATCTCTTCCTCATCATCCAGGATCTCGTCCTGGACCCTTCCTCCTCCTAAGAGAGCCCTGGGGGAGGGAGGAAATGCACGAGGTCGGGAGCTGTCAGTCTCCTTCCCCCCAGAGTTGGACGTCCATCGCCTTTGCCCACGCCGGGCCACAGCTGCTGGTACAAACCAAACACGGTCACTGGCCTCTGGGACGAGCTCTCTGCCCTCCCTTTCCTTTTGGCCCCTTTTCATGTGGACACAAGCTAGATCGCTCCTACCTCTTTCTGTCCCAGTGCTTTGCCCCCAGAACTCTGGGTCCATCACCACCAAGGAGGTGTTCTCTGCCACCTACCCCTCCCGTACCTGCGAAGTGGGTCGCTAGTATTTCTACCCTCCCCTTTCAGCAAGAACCCGACCATTCATTGTGCTACCTCCCAGGAAAACTCCAACGGTAGGAAAGTTAGGGTCAGGGCCAGAAGAATAGATGGAAATACTGAAATCTGTGCTTGCCCCAGAACTGGTGCATGCTCTTCCCTGGACAGGAGGCAGGAGTGACTGTGCCCACAGCCTCCTGAATCTGGTCCACCCTGCAGACAGCTCACACAGACCCGTGTGTGGATGCCCCACTGAATGGCAGATCCCAGCACCCACACTGTTGGGTCCTCACGTGGGTTCTCCTTCCTATTAATATAAATCAATCAGTACCTCAGGCTACATCCCAGGGCAGAGCCTGGGTTTAGCAGGTAGGAAAATGCAGAATTTGTTCAGTCATGTGCTTGTAAAATGTGATGCTTCTATTTTTTTTTAATATGTATGTGCTATGCACAAACCATATCGTGTTCCAGCAAAAAGGAAAAGGTCTTTTTATACGTTCCTCTAAACTGTTTGACTCCACCCCTCCTATTAAAACCGACAACAAATCTCTGGGCTGTGGTTGATTCTTCTCTGGATTCTTTTTCTCCTCTCAAGGAGGGAGGCAAATTGGAAAAAGCAGGAGTGCATGGTGCTGTGAATTTTTAAGGCCAGAAGCAATCACATGGGTTGCTTCATCCATTCTGCATTTTACAGAAAGGGAAATACAGCGAAGGAGGGAGAAGGACAATACCGTTGGCCCTGGTGGAGCAGAGGGCTTCCCTGGTGGCTCAGTGGTAAAGAATCCGCCAGCAATTCAGGAGACCCAGGTTCGATCCCTGGGCCAGGAAGATCACCTGGAGGGGGAAATGGCAACCCACTCCAGTATTCTTGCCTGGGAAATCCCATGGACAGAGGAGCCTGGCAGGCTACAGTCCTGGGGATGCAAAGACCTGGACACGACTGAGCATGTGTTCACACATAGTGGACCAGGAGCCTGGTTATGCACACTTCTGGGGCCGTCAATCACATTCGTTACTCACCCACAGATTCGCCCATCCAGGATTATTAATAGTTTGGGGGCACCTGTCTCTGGGCTGCCCTGGGCTAGATTTGGGGGCAGGCATGTGAGTGAACAAGGCAGAAACAGTTCCCCAGCCTCTCATGGACTTGCATTAAAAATATAAAAATCACCCGTGAATGTATTAAAGTTAGATTCCGAGCCACACTCCCAGCATCTGGGCCTGGGTGGGCCCAGGAGTCTACCCAGGCAACCCCAACATTGCAGAGCCCTGGTCTAGAAGGATGACTGAACTCGTAGAACATTTGGGCCAAGAGAGACTTTATAAATCATTTTTAAAAAATCTTTTCATGGATTAAAAGAAGAAGAAGGCTTAGGGAGTCTAAGTTTCTTACCCAAGATCCCCCAGCCAGAT